GGCTAAGGCACCAGCCACATACACCTAAGGTGGCGGGTTCGAATCCAGCCCAAGCCCGCCAAACAACAATGATGGCTGCAACCAAAAAAATAGCCGGGCATTGTGGCAGACACCTGTGGTCCCAGCTACTTGGGAGGTGGAGGCAGGAGACTTGCTTGAGCCCAGGAGTTGGAGCTGGGGCTCCAACTGTGAGCTGTGATGCCACGGCACTCTACCCAGGCGAACAGCTTGAGGCTCTGTCTCCCCCAAAAAACCCAGATTTGCTTTATAGGCTACAGGGAATAGAAGTAGAGGGGTGGGCTGAACAGCCAGCCCACCATGGTATGGTGGCCCATAAAGACCATAGGGAGGTGTTGTGTTCATAGATGAGACCAGGCTGGGAATTTACATGAAAGTCCTAAGGATCTTTGGCATCAGCATTAATTATGCCAAGACTCATTGTACCAAGCCTCAAATCAAGGGTCTATGTATCAAACACCTGGATAACCTCACATGTGGTCCAAGCTCCTTCCCACCTACATGCCTGCTGACTCTGCTTCTGGTTAATTCTGACACATCCCTCAGACCTCACCTCTAACATTGCTTTCTTTTCTTTCTTTCTTTGTTTCTTTTCTTTTCTTTTCTTTTCTTTTTTTTTTGTTGCAGTTTGACTGAGGCCAGGTTCAAACCTGCCACCCTTGGTATGCGGCCGGGACCCTACTCACTGAGCCACAGGCACCGCCCTAACATTGCTTTCTTAGGCCTTCCTTCACATCCTAATCAAGTCAAATTTCCCAGTTTAAATGTTCTCAAGGCATGCTCTGTTTCTCCTCCAAAGATCACAATTTTAATTCATGTTAAGAATTGAGCCAATATCCCCCAAATATGTGAGACTCTAATAGAAGAACTGCTTCTATATCTCCAGATCCTGGCACAGCACCTGGTCCCACTGCAAGGGGCTCAATAAATTGTTGAGTGAGTGAACCCCATCCCCAAAAGAAATTAATCTGTCTTTTTCCTTACTTATTCGTCATCCTGAATTTTCCTACCATTAATTCAAGTAAAGTAATTTATTTCAATGTGATTGACATAGCTATTCCATGAGTGGATTAATAAATTGTGGTGTATGTACGCCATGGAATATTATGCAGCCTTTAAAAAGATGGAGACTTTGCCTCTTTTATGTTTACATGGATGGAGCTGGAACATATTCTTCTTAGTAAAGTATCTCAAGAATGGAAGAAAAAGTATCTAATGTCTTAGTACTATTATGAAACCAATTTATAATCACCCACACTTTCATATGAAAGATAAAACACAACTATAGCCCAGGATGAAGGAGGGAAGAGGAGAGATGGGAGGGGAGGGGGGAGGTTGAATGGAGGGAGGGGAACCGGTGGGACCACACCTATGATACATATTGCAAGGGTACATGTCAAATCTATTAAGTGTAGAGTATAAATGTCTTAACACAATAATTAAGTGAGGTAAAGGCTGTGTTAACCAGTTTGATGTAAGCAATTCCAAATTGTATATAAAATCAACACATTGTACCCCATAATAAAAAAAAGAAAAAAAGAAAAATCATTTACCTAAGGTAAATTGGGTACAGCTGATCAATTCCTTAGAAATAGCAACAAAATTAATGCCTTAGCATTTTATTGATCTTCATCTTTTTCCAGTAACCTCTTTCTCCTGCTGCCCATGTGCCCATTGGTTCTTCAGCTTTGTTTTTAAGAGAAAACAGGTACACATCCCAACACCTGAATTACGGTCTACTCACTGCACAGGCTAAAGATAGTATTTAGCTTTGTAAATTCCTTCCAGACTTAACAATCCTTGTCTGAAGCTCTCAGACAAGAATTGTGCTTGTTTGCCGTCCACAGGCTGAGTTAATTCTAATAAATAGAACTGCAACTCAAAATAAGCTCCCAGTGCCAGGAACATGTTGGTGTCTCTTTGGAGGTTATGAGAAATACAGACCACACCACAGACCAAATAATTAGAAGATGAGCTGTAATAAGAGACCTTTGTCTAAAAGATTGAGAATTGCTCTTCTAGACTGCTGGTTCCTATGAACAATACGGAGTACTCACTGGGTGATCTAGAAAAGTCTTTCTCTTACATTTCTTCATGAAACCTTACATAAATGTGAAAGGCTAAAAAAGGTTTTGTCAATAATTTTCCAAGTCCTTATGATTGACACATTTGCACGTTGCGTACAGAATTTGCATTACCTTACTCCTCTAGCGAGTGCCCACGTACTTCTCTTTACCTGCTTCATGTTCACATCGATTCAACCCAGGGATGTTTGGTAGCTCTGAGCTGTGGTCATGTTTAGAGGCTTATGCCTAGAAAAATCAATTAACTTTCAATTAACCATTAACTTTCACAGCAGAAAGCACTGTTAAACTTTGACCTGTCTGGCTAAAGCATTTCATGAAGGTATAGAAAACCAGAGAAGGGGTAAGGATGGGTAAGCATTGACATACTTTACAGATGTGGGTTTGTGAAGACAAACGATAACTCTTCTCTTTTGTGGGCTGTTCTCATGTGGTGACAGCTGGTGGCCGGAATCAGCTCACTTTCAAAGCTCTGATTCCTTAGTAGGCTAGTGACCATGTGATTTTTTGTGTGTGTGATTGCTGTCAATGTTTCCCCTCCTGGGGAAAAAAAAAAGATAAATAACTAAATGGGGTTTTCTTTTTTGCTTTTGTTTTTGTTTTCAGAGACAGGGTCTCACTCTGTCACACAGGCTAGGGTGCAGTGGTGTCATCGTAGCTCACTGCAACTCAAGCTCTTAGGCTCAAGTGATCATCCTGCCTCAGCCTCCCCAGTAGCTTGAACTACAGGTGCAGGACACCATGCTAGCTAATTATTTCTTTTAAGACAGGGTCCCATTATGCTACCCAGGCTGATCTTAAACTCCTGGCCTCAATGATTCAACCTAGGCAAGTTTTAGGGGTACCGGTCATTCTTGGCTATGCTCTTGTGTGTTTTAGAAGTCACCCACAGAGGTCTTAATGGATAAATCCAATCAAGATGTCTATGGATTCAAGCCACAGAACATATTAACAATTATATGGACTGATAAAAGAATAGGCTAATAATAGCGATAACAGCACTCAGCCTCCCACTATATGGGATGAGAGGCCTGAGCTACTGTGCTCAGTCTAAATGAGTTTTCTTACCATTACCATTTTTATATGAGTTTAGGTATCAAAAGCTAGGCTTCTGAAGATTTGACTTTCATCAAACAAGATGAAAAAGATTATAAAATCTTTATCCCAATTCTCTGAATTTGCTAGAAATCTGAGCTTACATGCTGTTATCACTATTATTAGTGGATTTATCCATTAAGACCTCTGTGGGTGACTTCTAAAACACACAAGAGCATGGCCAAGAATGACCCGTACCCCTAAAACTTGCCTAGGTTGAATCATTAAGACATATATTTTTTCCTTACCAACAAAGAAAAATGGAGAGTGGGGGTTGGAAACCCTTTCAATATATGGAAATTCTCCAACCCTGTCTAAATGCCAATAACATAGTGTTCTGTGGATACAAAGGAAGTAACTGAGGAATATTTTTCAGGAAAAGTTGGCTTAGCTTAGGTCCCTACTGGGGTCTCTACCACTTTAGCCTGTTTTGGTACCCTACACTCAGATAAACTCATTCTCTCCCTCTTGCCTTTATCTCTGCTATACGTGTTGATTCCTTTGTGTTAGGTCTCACAAGCTGTTGATTTTTTTCTTAACATTTTGCAATCATCTAAGAACCTAAATCTGAGAATTATTCTTGGTAATTTGACTAGAAAGGAGGAGGCTAAGCAGGCACTTTATAATCAAGGTACGAAGTCAATGCCAAAGGTCAGAGAGGTCAGTCTGCCCAGGGACAAACAGTTGATTTGGTAGATCCATGCAGATCAAGGCAAGATCATCCAAGGTGGAGCAGGAGGCGTGGCACAAAACCATGACGAGAATGTGGTGACAACAGCAGTGGTGATAATAATGGCTTTCAATGTATCTAGCATTTACCAGGTGCCAGGGTTGGATTTAAATCACAGCAAAAGACAGGGCCGGAATTCTACAGATTCTGAAAAATAATACCCACCCAATTTCTACTACTCTTCTTTTTCTTCTCTACCAAATGAGAACCATGGATCACCTCTATCTTCACCTTATGTGTGAACTGTGTAGGACTCTGATAATAACAATAAGGATAATGGGAGAGCAATATAGAATGAAAGTAATGAAGTAAATGTGCCCTTAAATACTGCCTGACTTTAGGTTCCTCAGATAGTAATGGAATTTCATCTGTTGCAAGTCATTCAAAAATATTTATTGAGTGCTAATAAATGCATTACTGTATGCTATCCTGGATAGAGTGAAAAACAGACATGGCCCCTGTCTTTGTTTTGTTTTTCAAATTAATATGAAGGTACACATTTTTAGGTCTTACTGTTTTCAATTAGAAGATAAGGTTCAAGTTGTAGTTGAGCCCTTCACCCAGGGGAGCGTGCTGAACACCCTCACACTGTGTACCTCGGGTGGGATCCTGCCAAAGGCCCTTCCTCCTCCTGCCTCCCATCTCCCTCCTTGCTCCTCCCCCTTGCTGACCTACATTTGTATTTCTTCATTCCTGTGGGTATGTCTTGTCTATATATTGGTTTCATATTAGTATTGAGGACATTGGGGTTTTTTCCATTCTTGAGATACTTAGGCTTAGAAGATTGTGTTTCAACTCCATCCAGGTAAACATAAAAGATGTAAAGTCTCCATATTTTTGTTCTGTTTTGTCGGTGATGTTCAATAAGGAAATGTATTCTGCTTCATAGCAGAATGGTTTAGATGGTTATAACCCTTGATTCCAAATCAAAAGACCCAGATAATGGATTTTGCGTTGATAGGAACAAGAATAGTGATTTTTGGGTCTGCCACTTAATTTCTTAGTACCACCTGAACAAATACCATGTTAGACTAGATTTTTAAGAGTTCTGCCAACTGTAACATTTCATTGTTTGGTTTAGTGTTGGTAACACCCTGTGTTGGAAGGGCAGTTTGGCTGAGTGGATATAAAAGGGCAGCCTTTACATTTTGCTTACACCTATGCATTCCAGGATTTGGTCGTGATGGGGCTGGGGACCAGATTCCAGATCTAGTCCTGAATCCCACTCCAGTGTGATCCAGTCTCCATAATTCTCCTAGAGCCAGTCCAAGGTTCCTATTGGGCCACGACTGTCAGGGCTTTTGTCTCCAGGAGCAGAGAGCTCCGGGCCAGGTTTTCCCCTTAGCCCGGCTGCAGGCGGTGCACGGACTGACAGTGCTCTGGGCCAGGAGTAGCCCCGCTACCAGCTTTCCCCTTCTGCCGCGAGTCTGCCTCTCGCTGCCCACTTGCTGTTGACCTTCAGAGGCCGGCAAAGTCCTACCTACACAATTCCTCCCTCTCAGTTCTCAGAGCAGACTCCCAAGCAGCTTTATTCCTGAAGTCCCAACAGCTTCATTCACTCCTAGGCTTGCAGACACCAGGGGTCCTGGTCACTCCAGTCTCCAGCCCTGCCTGAGACCTGACCACCTCCCCTAGGAAGAAATGATTCCCACCTGTAGGGTGGCCCAGCTTAAACGGACTACTTCCAAAAACGTGGATGTGTGTTTCTGTGATTGAAACTGTCAGAAAAAGGGACAAGGGCACACACCCACCCGGACCACAGCAGTACAAATAAAGTTCATTAGAGGAAATCCGGGGGGAGAGAAGGCAGGTTCCCTTCTGAGCCCCCTGGCTCATCACAGAGAAGAGTGTCTAGGCTGGGCAGAGCTGTGCTGGGTGCTGCCATAGGGGTCTGGCTGGATAAAACTCTTTTTCTAAGGAGATGGGGAACTTGATATGCCTTGTTAGAAAGGACCAGCCTCTCAAGTTCAACCGGAACCTCCTCTCCACATTTTGCTTATAATTTAGCAGGCAAGAGAACTTGACATTCACAGTGAGATTAACTGGGATAGTGTCATCTCGCTATAGTGTCATGGGCACACAAAGGTGGAAGCAATTATTTTAGTGGTGGGTGGGTCTGTGAAGGAAAGCTCAGCAAATGTGACAGCTGAGTAGAACGTTCCTGGATGGGGAGGATTTTCCAAGTAAAATGCTTGTGGGGGAGAGTGACGTTTCAGTGCGGGGGATTGTTTTTAAGGCACTAGAATTCTTTTCCGTGCATAATCAGGTCTAGACCTCTCTGGGACTGTTAACTGTACAGCCTTATAGCTTTTAATAATGTGCTTTCTTTTACAGTGGCAATTCTTTTGATTTGGGTAATCTATTTTTAGAGGCTGCTTTATATAATTAGTAATTATGACAGAAAATGAATTTCCTAGACATTAAATATGTCATTTTAAATCTTATCTGTAATGAGCTGAGGATGTTAGCATTCAAAGATATATTCAGTACCTACTATACCCTCTGGGAAGGATATGTTGCATGGATCTAACTGTGGTTGAGGAATGGAAATCTTTTTCATTAATTTTATTATTGATTGATTCATTGATTTAGAGACAGAATCTCACTCTGGTAAAGTGCCATGGTATCGAAGCTCATAGCAACTTCAAACTCTCAGTCATAAGCGATCCTCTTGCCTCATCCTCCCAGGTACCTGGAACTACAGGTGCCCATCACAATGCCTGGCTAAATCTTTTTCTATTTCTAGTATAGGAAGAGTCTCACTCTTGCTCAGGCTGATCTCAAACTCGTGAACTCAAGCAATCTACCTAATCTGGCCTTCCAGAGTGCTAGGATTACAGGTGTGAGACACCTCACCCAGCTTTCATTAATTTTTAATATTTAAGAATTTATCTGTTAGGTATCCCATGAGTAAGTTAGTATTTTATGTAATAAGTATGCAATAGAAAAAAACAGACTATCTTTTTCCAAAAAGGTTTTTCAATTGTCTTTGTTGTTTCTGTTTTCAACAAAACAAATTTTAAATTCAGTATGATTCTATTGGGGAAGGGGGAGCGAAACAGTTATCCTCTCACTGCGGTATATGTATGTATAAGATATGTGCTCATCAAAGCCTAGAAAAAGATGTGGAAGATAGAAAATGATAGCTGTGAGGCCATGGTATTCTACTGAGGGTGACACAGTAAGACTCTCTCTCTCAAAAAAAAAAAAAAAAAAATATATATATATATAGGCACACCCAACATCCTCTCATGGCAGACCAGTGTGCCTGGGTACACTGGTTGAAAACCACTGGTGTAAAGCTTCATTTCCATCAATCTTGGAGCAGTAAGTCCTACAGTCAAAAATAGTACCTGAAAT